AGATCTGGTTTAGTCCTGGTTTAGACCTGGTTTAGTCCTGGTTTAATCCTGCATTAGTCTTGGTTAAATACAACACTAATGGGGTTACATCGTGTTTATAGATCTGGTTTAGTGGTTTATTCCTGGTTTACATCCGGTTTAGTCCTGGTTTAGTCTTGGTTAAAAACGGCATTATTGGGGTTAAATCATGTTTATATATCTGGTTTAATGATTTAGTCCTGGTATATATCTGGTTTAGTTTTGGTTTAGTCCTGGTTTAGTCTTGGTTAAAACAGCTTTAATGGGGTTAAATTATGTTTATATATCTGGTTTAGTGGTTTAGACCTGGTTTAGTTATGGTTTGGTCCTCGTTAAATACAGCATTCAGAGGGGTTAAGTCCTGGGTTAGTCCTTGTTTAGTGAATTGTTTGTGGGGTTTAGGCTTGGTTTTAGACCTGGTTTTGTTCTTGTTATAGACCTGGTGTAGTCCTGGTTTAGACCTGAGTTAGACCTTGTCTAACCTTAGTCTTGGTTAAAAACAGCATTAATGCAGTTAAATTATGTTTATAGATCTGGTTTAGTGGTTTAGACCCGGTTTAGTTCTGGTTTAGTCCTGGTTAAATAGAAAAGAACAGTTCTCATTTAGTATGGTGACATCTTTGGGGAAGAAGCATTTGGGGGCATTAAGTCCTGGGTTAGTCCTAGTTTAGTCCTTGCTTAGTGCGTTGTTTGTAGGGCTTAGGCTTGGTTTTAGATCTGGTTTAGTTCTTGTTATAGACTTGGTGTAGTTCTTGTTTAGATACAATCTAGTTTAGACCTGGTTTAGTCCTGGCTTGGACCTGATTTAGGAACCCCAAAGTATATATCTATATCTATATCTATATATAAGTATATATATTATCCTGGCATGTCTTAAAAAAGATGTGGTCATGTAGTTATCAAGTAATGCTTGGTTTCTGATTTCGTTTCATTGCTAACAAACCATTTAGTGTCGAGTCTTTTGAGGAGAAAAAGTGAAAGTTGTTCTGACGAGTGACATTTCCTCACAGACTTGTGGCTGGCTCTTGACAGCTGTGGACGAGATCCCGGGCGAATAAGTTTCCCTCCAATCAATCTGTCACTGACCCTGTCTCCCACTCAACAGGCGTCTGCAAACTTACACAGGCACTCAGGTGGAAACACACAAAGAAAGTTCACAGCATACTGGTTAAAGGTGCATCATGGAACTTTTCTGTTGATATGTATCCCACCTGTTTGCTACCTTGGAGATCTTTAACTCTGCTTTGTATTTTTGACAGTAAAGCATTAACTGTATATGTCTTGCATTTATTGAAGGAGCTCATTTCATCTTGTGAAATGAGGTAAAGCAATAACATCTTAAAGGAGACAAGCAGGTGGCAAACACTCCACTAGAAAAGTTACATAGGGCAGCTTTAAAAGTCTAGATCTACTATAGTGTGTTTAGGTTCAGAGGGAGTTATGGTATCAATTGGTTGCACTAATCTCGGCTTACTTACCTTAAACAATCAGGTGTTTTACTTCAATGGGGGATTTACTTAGCCAGGTTGGCGCCACCTAGTGCTTCCACTCAATTTCATTTCTCTCCAGCAACTAGGTCAGGAATCAGAATACACTATGGTTTGCAAGAACCCTGGAAGTTGGGTTCTTCGCTGATTCCGGGCACCAGCAAATCAGCGAAGATCCGTACATTCTGTGTTGGCAACGATTTCCGAGATCGAGGATTTAAAGCTGGGAACAAAGAGAATGTTTGGTGAATTTTATCAAGGGTAAAGATATTATTGCCCTTCTTCCTACAGGATTTGGGAAAAGCTTAATATACCAGTTAGCCCCGTTAGCTGCGCATTACAGATGTCACGACTAAATATCAGCGATTGGTTAAATTTTAAAAAGTACCTGCCTACCGTCAAGTGAATGAATCTTAATGCTGCAAGGTCAGACAGTTTCCACAAAGTGAAACTGGCTGATGAATCAGGCTAGGATTTACTGTTAATATGTAAGATTACATTAAGATTCATTACATAATGTATAATGTAAGGTACATTACATAAGATTAACATTAGCTGAAAACAGAGTATTAACATTAACATTTTATAAGCTGTTATATCTTTGATGCTCTGGGTCTCCCCTCCCTTTGCACTCCACGCTAAATCACTCCCCTTTTAGAGCGCTATCAGTTACAATCAGTGTGCATCCTGCTAACTACTACTGCACATCACATCAAATTTGTCAGAGTGTATTGTTTTGTATCATATTTGTTTTGTATAATACTTTTATATATTTATGGAGAATTGTTGTGTGGATGGATGTGTAACGAAGGCTTGTGGGCCAACCGTAAGGAAGGTTCGAATAGGGCCCCTGAGAAATCGCTAGATTAGTCAAACATGCATGGATGTTTGAGTGATGACCTGGCCCCGGATAAGTGAAAGAAAATGGATGGATGGATGACATATAAAACCTGGCATGTTTTTAATGAGGGAGCAATGGTAAAAAAAAGCTTTAAAAAATTCCTCTTTAAACACTGACATTAACAAATAAAAGCCGCAGAGTAACGTTATTTATTTATAATTTACTAGCATAAACAACAGCATTGCAGTAGTATCCAGGTTCACTGAGGTCCCGCGGCTCTTCCATCACCTCCATATTTTATTCAGTATTAGTGATGCAGCTTTATGTTTTCTTAGCTTGAATTGTTAAGTGGCATTTCAGGGTCATTTGCAGCTTATGTGATTCAGTTTTGTGTACAGTACTATTGGATCATTTATTTTTTAGGTGTTTATTTTTCTCTGTGGCTTCAGTGTTCTACAGTATGGCATTAATCGGAGTCAGAAAACATTTATATTGCCATTGTTAGTGAACCATATTAAAACACTAGTAATTTGCTCTGGCGATTAAAGGGCTCATATTACTTTATTTCTTTGAATCTGTTATAATGTTGTTTCCTTGTGTTTTGTTTCATTCACCCGTTTAACACACAAACCCTGAATATTTAGGCTGAGTTCTTCTCTCAAACAGAAAACACTATGTTCTACCTTGTGATGCCATGTGGTAATACAGGAAGTGCTCCACTGTGCTTTTAAACTCCATACAACTTCACTAGAATCATTCGGATAATTTCAGACCTGGAATTGCCAATTTCTTAGCCAGGGTGGCGTCACCTAGTGCCTCCGCTCAATTTCATTTCTCTCCAGCGACTAGGTCAGAAATCAAAATACACTAGACAGTTTCGCAAGAACCCTGGAAGTTGTAGACCGCGCACTGTCCAATCAGCGAAGAGCTGTGAAGCAGACAATTACATCACTGAGCATTCCAGCGCATTACATATGTCTTGACCAAATAGCAGAGATAGGTTGAATACAAAACGTACCCACCTACCGTCGAGGGAATGAATTGTAATGCTGCGGTCAGACGGTTTCCATAAAGTGAAACCGGCTGATGAATCAGGCTACCAATCTCTACCGAACTAAAGGTGAAAATTAGCTGTCTACTTGAAAACTACCACATCATTACATCACAGGGTAGAACAGAGGATTTTGAGCTTTGGAGATATAGACATTCTAATAATAAACGGTTACTCAAACGTGTGAATGAAACAAAACACAACTCCTGGTATGTTTTTGAGGAGGTAACAACATTATAACATGGCTAAAACCATTATAGGACCTTTAAAACTATGATAACAACAGTAGATGTCTTGGAATAGATATCGGATTGGATCATTTGTTTCTGGAACAGCACAGATATTGAATACCAATGCAGCATCTCTATGTGAAACTTCAATCTAACTTCAAAACCAAGACTTTGCCTCATAGTCTAGTTGCATCCTCCTTCCACTTCTCCTTCTCTTTCCTGCTGTGTGGCCTCTCTGTCCTCCTCACATCCTCTCCCTTCCCTACATTCCCTTTCCTCCTTCTCTTTGCTCCTCTCTCCTTCTCCTTCCTCTCCTCCTCTGTGATTCCTGTCCTCCATCGCCCGCTGTGTTGTGCTCATCTTTAGAGTCTTTCGTCAGGATCAATGGGGCGTGTGCAGTCCGCCCCAGTGCCAGTCTCGCTCAGGACAGGGGGTCTGGTGATGGGGAGAGGTCTCCTGCTGGTGACTGCAGATGTTTAGTCCTGCTTCTGTGTGTGCTTGATTTGTCCTCCTTGTTAGTAAGCATGAGATCTTGTGCCTCAAGATCTCGCAACATAAAATTACTACAAGCTTGGGCACTCGTGAGAAAATAATCTCGAGAGATTTTCCCCATGTGTTTATATTTGGGTTGGACAAAAAAAGTTAAGTGTTGGTAAAGCTGATACTTTGCTTACACTGGGGGTCTTCTGCCTGTATGCCTATGGCCATTATGACACCAGTTGCCATGGTGACTTGTGAAACACTGCCAAAGATTGTCTGAAAACTCAAGTAAAAATGCAAAATTGATTTAAACACATTTTCAGGAGCCTGTTATCAATACGAGCGTTCATGGGTGTCTTTAGGAGTTTCATTATCAGCAAAAAAGGTGAGAGTGACTGAAATGAAAAACTGTTGGCTGATGCTGACTTTAATGTAAATTGAGAGGGACTTGTTAAACAGAACAAATCTGCTCCAGCTAATGCAAAGCTTCAGACAGAGCAGTGCACTACACCCCCAGGGAATATTGATGACAGCTGCATGTATCAATTAAAAAAAATGTGAGGGCCAAAACTGTGAACTCAGCCATACTATAATATTTTTTTTGTATCAATACAGCTCATAAGATCAAAGTAAATCTGTAGTGTACTTTCTGCATCTAATTATAAAGTGTTTTATTGTCAGATAATCAGAAAGTGATAGTTCTGACTGCAAACCTTTTCTCTTGTCTCTGAGAGTTAAATGTTAAATGCATAAGGTAAGTGAGGAATAACTTTAGACCTCTGTAAATGATTTAAAATGGACTAATTCTGTTTTTCACATTTTTAAGACTCATCAGGTACAGTGCCTTTAAAATCCAATTCCAAACATATTTTCTCTCTCTCTCTCTGTTACAGGCTGATTCATGGAGGGCAGTTCCTGAACGGTTTGGCTGGTCCCACCATCATGAGCGCGGGGCCTTACCTCTCCACCACCTGGTTTGCTCCAGACCAAAGAGCCACCGCTACAGCCGTGGCATCGCTCTTCTGTTACCTGGGGGGCGCTGCGTCGTTCGTCGTGGGTCCTCTGGTGGTCCCTGCCCCAAACGACACTCAGCAGACGAGCTTTTGGAGAGCAGGGCCAGGCAGTGATACAAGCATTAGAGACAGGATACAGCTGGTTATGTACGCAGGTAAGGACAAGCTATTCTCCTCTACTGACAAACAATGTATGTCTGGATCAGTTTAAGACCAAAACTTCAAAATTTGGAAATAGCCACATAATGGAAACAGAGCTATTAGTTAAAGAAGACATACAGAGGTAGCAGTCTAAGCACAGACTTTTGGAAATCCATCAGTGATTATCATAGCAACCAAAGAGCCAATCCGGAGTGAGGCTGTTGAAGGTAACACCCCTTCCTGCCCGCACCGCAGCAGCAGTTACGGAAAGAGGTGTGACAGTTTTTCATTACAAAGTGAATTAGGTCGATTGACCATAGGTGACAGTAGGAACATAGATTGACCGGTAAATTTAGAGCTGGCGTGACGTTGAGAAACTGGTTGTTGGACTTACTGCAGAACTGAGAAGCCCCATTTCTTCATAGTGAGCTGCAGATTTTCATTCACTTGTTTTTTAATGATGAAAAGTTATCGATTAAGTGATATTTTTTAAACCTATGTCTGCTTGGGAATCAGATTTTTTAGCAGTGGGCGGAGATAGAGAGTACGTGAAAATGCAGGACAAAATATAGCTCTACTAAACTAAACCTGGATTAAATTAGAACACTACGCCAATATTGCAGTAAACTAGTTCTAAACTAGTTCTAAACCAGGACTAAACCAGGACTAAACGATGACTAAATATTGCTCTCTTCACTTTTACTCCTGAGTATAGCCCTAGTAGAATCCACTTGTCACTTGTACATGCACCACAGGTTAAAAGCACTGAGCCACTAAACAGGGGCACTCGGATCAATAACACATCATCTGAACATTTAGTCAATCAAGTCATGGGCCCGAAACATAATCGAGTGAACGAGAAGAGAGGGAGGTGATCCTAGACCAAAAAACTCCCCAAAACTCCAATTATAATCTTTGTGAGTGGCGCAGTGACGAGTGGATTGTGGAACAGTTATGCTTAAGTGGCTCAGAAAATTAAAAGCATGTTTGAAAAGAGAGAGAGAGACGACGTGTTTTGTTTAACCCGAGGTATGGGTTTATTAAATTCAAAGCCTGACATTCACTGCTCGAGGTCAGTAAATCCAGAATTTGGTGTTACAGTGAAATATGATGATAATAAATGGGACTAACTGGGTGTAATTATGGCTGGGGATTGAACAGATTTTATATTGTAACAGCAACTCTAATTTCCAACATAAGACCACTGCGTACTCTCTGCATTAAATTATAAAGCGCTTTATAGTCTCAGAATCAGGAAGTGTGCTGGTAGAATGATAGTTGTTCTTCCAAAGTCCATATTACACCTTCTTTGGCTCGATTTATAATGTTGTTTTCGCATCACAAAAATACCTGGAGTTATGTTTTTTCACATGTTTATCACACAAACATTGCATATTTTTAGACTTTAAAGTCTTCTCTAAAAAATATGACGCTCTCTTCCACCCTGTTAGCCAGGCTGGTGCCACCTAGTGCCTCCGCTCAATTTCATTTCTGTCCAGCAACAGGTCAAGAATTGGAATACACTAGATGGTTTGCAAGAACCCCAGAAGTTGTAGACCACGCACTAGGCAATCAGCAAAGAGCTGTGAAGCCATGACATCAAACTCAAGCACCTGTCTGGGTCCCTTTTGTGGTACAGCACAAAAGTAAACAAAGTGGTCAAGATGGATGTAGACAAACCCATACATTTTGTGTTGGTGATGATTCCCGAGATCGAGGATTTAAAGGTAGAACAAAGAGAATGTTTGGCGAATTTTATAAAGGGTAAAGATGTTATTGCCCTTCTTCCTACAAGATTTGGTAAAAGCTTAATATACCAGCTAGCGGCGCATTACATACGTCACAACCAAATAGCAGCGATTGGTTAAATATAAAAAGTACCCACTTATCGTCAAGCGAACGAATTCTATGCTGCGAGGTCAGACAGTTTCCACAAAGTAAAACTGGCTGATGAATCAGGCTACTGCCTTGTGATATCATGTAGTAATACAGGAAGTGCTCCACTGTGTTTTGAAACTCCATACACCTTCACAAGAATCATTTGGATAATTTCAGCCCTGGAATTGCCAATCTCTACTAAACTAAAGGTAAAAGGTAGCTGTTAACTTGAAAACTATCACCACATCACATCACAAGGAACAGAGCGTTTTGATCTGGAGATGTAGACAGACTAATAATACAGGATTACTCAAATGTGTGAATGAAACAAAACATAACTCCAAGTATGTTTTAGTGGAGGTGATAGCATTCTAACATGGCTTAAACCTCACAAGAGTCAATTTTGCATAATATATGACCTTTAAAAGCCAGTCCTGTTTATTTTCAGGAAATTTTGAAATCTCGACAGCCATTTCGTTGATGGGAAATACTGTGACGTCATTAGGACCTATATCTGTCTGGGTTTTGCAAGGTTACATTTTCCTCAATAAAAAGTTGTAATCGTACCAAAAATACAAAACTGGAACGGGACTGTGGCAGATCAGGAAAAAAAGCCTTTTTTTTCCTCTTCAGCTTCTTTTTTACTGGAAACTGGATTTGTTAATGGAACTAGATGGCGGTAATGCAACTATTGACTGTAAGCTGCCATTAAATTACCCAGAAGAAGAAGTAAAAGAACAACACTAAAAAGATTACTTCTGCCTGTGTGTTTGACGTGTGCATTTGTCAGTCAGTTTTATCAGCCATCATTACTCCACCTTTTTGTCACGTCGCTTGTTTGAAATTGTAAATATTCGTCTGCGACCTTTAGGGAAATGTCATGGATTTAATCTGGTAGTCCAACATGTTTCTGTGCGTTATCTCTGTCACCATGCTCTGTAGAGACTCCTGTTAATGCGATCTTGTGAAAATGTGTTTACTAAGACGTAGGCATGGTACAATATTGAAATTTGGTGTCACGATGATCATATATTATCATTAAAATAAATTGGGGTTCATGATTATATCACGATAATTATTAAAGATGCTTTTTTTGAGCAAATTCTATGAACTAGAGCTAAACCAGGACTAAATCCAGACTAAACCAGGACTGAAATAGTTCTAAACCAGCATTAAAATCATAATAAATTTGAGCTAATAGGGTTCAAACCCTAACAGGCTAAAACTTCATCAGAACTAAAACAGATCTTATAAATGCCTTTAAAGGGACAGTTCGGAATTTTCGACATAGGGCCTCATTTCCCAGTGAGCCAGAGTGTTAGAGACGTGTGGAGAGAAAATTCCATCCAGTCCTTGTATTTGCAGAGGTCATTGGTGCTAGGCTAGTGCATGTCAATGGCCATAGTTAGCCTGCCACTAAAAACAGTCTTACCCACTCCACAAAACACTCGAAACAAATCAGACATTACACCAGACTATCAATTTAAATGCCTGTGTTGATAGAATAATGTTTGAAATAAAACTCACCTTGGATGAATCGATGTCGAGGGACTATTTTCTCATATATCAGTCCGCCGCTGCCAGACTTTCTATCAGGAAGTACAACTCACTGCTGCTTCTCAGACATAAATCCTTCAAATGCAAGGCTGGTTTTATTTCTAAAATTATTCAGTTGACATAGATATTTACATCGACAGTCTGACGTCATAATAGATTTGCTTTGGGTGTATTATGGAGTGGGTAAGACTGTCTCCACATGTTTCCAACACTCTGGCTAACTAGGAAATGAGGCCCTATGTCCAAAATTCCAAATTGTTCCTTTAATGCATTACAACAACACATTTTTCAATAAACGAAAAGAGCTACACATTTTGTAATTGGACTAAACTACAATGACCATTACAGTTTATTATATCAAGAGGGGTTGTTCACACTTGTTCTGGTTTGGTCCTGGTTTGAGTCTAGTTTATCCCTGACTTGGTTTGGTCCTGTTCTAGTTTAGTCCTGGAGTCAGTAATCCAATATAGTCTTAAAATTGCACTGTTTCTTTTCACAGTAATTGCAACACTCTTTCTCTCCTCTCATCTCTCTCTCTCTCTCTCAGAGCTGGGTGCCATAGCTGTTCTCTTCGTGGCTGTTCTGCTGTACTTCCCGTCCCGCCCTCCTCTCCCTCCGAGTGTGGCGGCTGCGAGTCAGAGACTGAGCTACCGGAGCAGCATCTGCAGACTCCTCAGGTAAAATAAGAATACAATCAAAGGGTCAAAACACACTCTCAAAGTCAGCTCAAAGTCGCCCTCACAGAAGTGTGTTGGTGAAGTGTCCTTATTTTCACCCAGAGAAGAAAGAAGGGAGTGCTTTCAAGTTTAATACATTTAAAGATCCTATATTATGCAAAATTGACTCCTTTGAGGTTTTAGCCACGTTATAATGTTGGTTACCACTTCAGAAACCTGGAGTTGTTTGTTGGTTCATTCATACATGTTTGAGTAATCCTTTATTATTAGTCTGTCTACATCTCCAGCGCAAAATGCTTCGGCCCACCTTCTGATGTCACGTAATGGTAGTTTTCGAGTTTTTTGTTAGTTTTTGTTTAGTAGAGATTGGCAATTCCACAGCTGAAATCAACCAAATGATTCTAGTGACGATGTAAACACAGTGGAGTACTTCCTGTATTACCACATGATATATAACAAGGTTGAACAACTGTTTGCGAGAACTCCCAAACAATAAAAAAAAATTTAAATACTAAACAATAAAATGTAGCTTAATAACATTGTAGTAAATTAATCAAAGAAGCTGCTTTTTTTTTGCATCTCTCAAAGCAATCCTTATCTCTTTTGCATTGCTGAACTCTTAGTAAAAGTTGAATTCATGGGCTTTTCAGGGCAGTTTGTAGTTTGAAGTTCCTCTCTCCATCTGCTCTGAGCCTGTATAAAACCCAGTCCCTCTAGGTTCATTACTGGTTTATAATTTCACATATAAGCTGCTCCTCTGCATCTTTAAATCGAGGGTCAGTATGCTGCAGTCCAGTGGGTTTACAACTACAGAGAGATCAACTAAATATCAACTACTTTATTTAATAGATAGATAGATGGATAGACAGATGGGTACCGATATCATATAAGCAGCTCTTGAGGTCAAAATAAGTCCGATGCGAGCTGTCTGTGTCTGATTATAAAGTGTTATACTCTCAGGAATTGCACGTTAGCTTTACTGTGACGGCAAAAAACTGCACTGATCACTGAAAGTTGTGAAAACCGCTCATAAACTCATTACGGTGAATAATTAGGACGGTCTGAATGCATAAGGAATAACTCTGGACCGCTGCAAACTGTTTACAGTGAACTAGGTCAGTTTTTCAAGTTTATAAGACAGTAAAGGTATCACGTACAGCATCTTTAAATAAACACCACTTGGACTAATAGTTATCCATTTAGCCAATATAATTTAACTATCATAACATATAACAAAGCAGTGTAAATGCAAACAGTATGTAGCCTGTATTCTCTCTAAAAGAAATCACAGAAAGCCTCTCTGTTTGCATTTAATTATGATTTTTCTGATAAGCATTGCAATTGTGTTTGGATTTGCAATTTATTTTTTGTTTTAATTAAAGGATTCTCTTCAAAGTTTTAGAACCTAGGATTGACAAAAGACTGAAATCTGAAACTAATACTACAATTGCATTTCAGAACATGGGGTTAGCAGTTTTGAAGACAGGATATTTTGTTGTTTGTGGTGGAAATTATGGTACTTCAAAAATGAATCTTTCAGCCCTACTCTGGGGACGGGAGACTAAACCGGGCTGTAGCGGTCGCCTCCTCCTCGCATTGGGGCTTGGCTTTTTCTGACCCCCTTTAGTGAGAATATCTCCACTCCAATGCCAGGGATTCCTCTGGTCCCTGCCCTGGTCTCTGGAGCTGGTCTGATCCTAAACCAGGATTTGGTCCAGGATTTGGTCCAGGATTTGGGTCTGAACTAGGCCATCCAGACGAGAGCTATCACTGCTGTGGGGACAGATAGGCTCCAGTCCAGTGACCTGCTTAGAAGTCAAGTTTCTCTATATAGTAATATGAGAGGTTTCATTAAAGTTGCAGTATGTAACTTTTCTGCTGGAGGGTTTGCCATATTGATATCCAATTTGCCGTATTGATATCCAAATCTGTACAATATTTTCACGATATGCATCTCACAGTACAATATTTGTTGAGATATAAGAGAATTGTCAATATGCTACTTTAACCTTTTAAAGCTCCTTGATAAGACTTTGGTTCTGTCATAATCTAAAGAACTAAGATTTAAAAGTGCTTAATAACAGTTATTTCTTTATGTAGTCTGCTGAAATTTAGCAAAGGATCATGGTCTATGCAGTTCCCTCTGTATTTTTAGATATTGCTGCACCATAACTGCTAATTTAAGTAAAAAAAAAATAAAAAATTATTTGCAGAGGTCACTGGTGCTAGGCTAGCACTTGTCAATGGTCATAGTTAGCCTGCCACTAAAAACAGTCTTACCCACTCCACAAAACACCCGAGGCAAAACAATTATAACGCTAGACTGTTGATGTAAATGTCTGTGTTGATAGAATAATTATAGAAGTAAAACCACCTTGCATTTGAAGGATTTATGTCTGAGCAGCAGCAGCGAGTTGTACTTTCTGATAGAAAGCTTGGCAGTGATATATGAGAAAATAGTCCCTCAACATGTGACTATTCATGTGATGTAAGGTTAGTTTTATTTCAAACATTATTCTATCAACACAGGCATTTACATTGACAGTCTGGCGTAATAATTGATTTGCCTTGAGTGCTTTGTGGAGTGGGTAAGACTGTTTTTAGTGGCAGGCTAACTATGGCCATTGACATGCACTAGCCTAGCACCAGTGACCTCTGCAAATACAAGGACTGGATGGAATATTTGAAAAAGTGTCTCCACACGTCTCCAACACTCTGCCTTACTAGGAATTGAGGTCCTATGTCCAAAATTCCGAATTGCCCCTATAAGGTGTTACAACAACACATTTTTTAATAAATGAAAAGAGCTACACATTTTGTAATTGGACTCAACTACAATGACCATTACAGTATAAAATAAAATGTAATTTGGTATGTAGTGATGGTCTTTTGATGATACGATATCACGTTATCGCTTTTCCTGAAATGTTCCACAATCACCTTTAATTGAATAAATACAAGAAAAGTTTAATGCTATACTGTGGAACGTCTTAGGCAAAGCAGCATCTTCATAGAGACAAGCATCCATACCTTTGAACAATTTGCCACAATAGATTTCATAACAATGGCAGTGCTTTTTCAGATGAATAATAGCCTGAGGTACATTTGTGATTAGGTATTGAATTGAATAGTATTTTTACAATGAGGAATAAACAGCAGATGAATTAACAATTAAAGAAAATACAAACTTGTCCAGTCTTCTCCCATTGTGTTCAGCGAAGGTCTAAGAATATGTTTTCATTCACTAAATCGACTGAGAAGAAAAGTGATTGTTAAAAAGAATCAATTATCCTTGAAGTCTCACTCTTTCCCAAATTTCACGCACATTGCATCATCTGTTTCTTGTTTCATTGTTTCTTTAGACTTTTAGGATAATAAATGCAAGATTCTATTTTCTGTTTGGAAAGTTAGAAGAGTTAAATGGACGAAATTGTAATGACATATCAGGGGTTGAAAGTTGGGTTTATTCAGGCATGTCTCAATGGTTAGTGCTCCTGCCTCACAGCCAGAAGGTCTCAGGTTCAATTCCCAAACCTGCAAACCCTTAAACGTAAAAGTGCACCATGTTACTTTTCTGATCTAGGATCCGACAACTTCTGGTCACTGTGGATGTTATTGCTTTGACCAAAATGTTTCACAGTGTAGTTTTAAAGCTGCCTGTTTCTATGAAGACAAGCAGGTGACGCCACCATGCCAAGATACGGGTCAGATCTGTGGAGAGGCAACCCCTGCTCACAATAAAAAAGCATTAGGAGTATCGATGGTCTTTCAATTAAATTTTCTTAATCGATCGTTGGGAGAATTAATGATCAATTTTCAATTAATCATTAAGGTTTTTAGATTAGAATTATCATCATTATTATTACTATTACTAATCTGCATAAATAAACTCAACTTTTCAACATATAAAGCATAACCACTATAGAGCCACATCAGCCCATTTGACATTATAATGTGTTTAACGCAGCTTTGACACATTTGTTTACATTTTACAGAAACAAAAATTAACACCGCATGTCTAATTTGCATAAACTATAAGCCTGAAAAAAAAAACTAAACTCTTTCCTTGTGCACTGATGCGTTCAGCTTCTGTCGGACTAAAGGACACGACTCAGTGGAAAGTGTGTGTTCTTTCTACGACAGAGGAATGTTGATGATGATGGTGAGTCTGTTCTGTGTGTGTGTCGTGTTGAAGATGGTCCATGTTTTCAGAGATCAGACGTGTGCTGGTTCTTTATTTAACAGTCATTTCGCTCACTTTATTTATGTTGGTCACTTTATTTATTTTGGCTACTGTTGTGATGAAAAGACTGAAAAGTGTTTGTCTTTTGGATGCATGCACTCTCAACTTTATGTTGCAGTAACCGAGATTTATGCAGCATGACGAAACCGGGATACTCAAAAAAACCCAATCATACCCGGAACACTGATGTGCATATAAACACATTCACTGAGTGGTACGGTGATCTCCAAGGAGCCCAAACGTGGGACTGTGAGGCCACAACTCCAGTGTTTGCGCTGTCAGACGCAGCCTCGTCTCCTTACACTACGCTACACACAGCAACCTACATTCGGCTTGTAGATTAAAAATAAACATGATCGACGAAATTCTTAATGATCAGTTACCGATTAGTTGACTAATCATGCCCATCCCTAATTTAATAAAAACATGTATGTGAGTGAATGCAAGATAGATACATTTTATGATATAATGTGGAGCATTAAAGGCAAAACAGTAACATCTCCATGGAGAGGAGCGGGTAGCCGACCCTCCACCAGAAAAGTTACATAGTACAACTTTACTGTGGGCTGTGTGTACTATTTCATGATTTAGTTTGAACTGTTAACATCGCCCACTTAGCTCCTTTTTTCAGTCTTTTTGAACCATGACAGAGAAACAACGGCCTGCAATTGTTACAGACAGTTGCTTCCAAATGGTCCTCGTCCAACAATAAAGTGCCTGGTTGAACAAAAAGTACCCCTAGGCTTAGTTTCTCTAT